CTTCCTCCAGGCTCCATCCTCATCTCCATCAACCCCTAAAGCTGCTGCCCATGGAGGAGGAGGAGGTGATTTTCCCCTGCAGGGGGGCACACGGACCCCCACATCCTTGCCGTGGCACAGGATGTCTCCAGGCAGATGGTGAGGTGAGAGGATGCCCTGGGAGCGTCCCTGGGGGGCGGAGGGGAATGGCTGAGGTCCCTCTGGGAGGTGCTGGGTCCTCTCCTGCAGCTCTGGGGAGAACCAGTCCCTCATCATCAGCGGCGAGTCGGGTGCAGGGAAGACGGCGTTGGCCGAGTCACCCTGGGGTTCTTCACCGAGGTCAGGGGCTCCTTGGGCAAGGAGCTGGAGAAGCTCCTGGGCTCCAATCCCCCTCAGGGAGGAGGGTACCCCCAGTCCCCAGACTCTGTGTGGGGAGGGTTGGGTGTCCCTGCAGCCTCTCCTCGTGGCCTGGGTCCCTGGTGTGGGGCTGTGTCTGTCCTCTCCCTGGAAAATGAACGGCAGGGACTGAACATCCCCAGAGCACCTGGAAGTCTGGGCCAGCTCAAACCTCCTCTCTCCCTGCTTAACCAGGCATTTGGGAACGCAAAAACCACCAGCAGCCGCTTTGGGAAGTACTCAGAAGTACTTAGAGATGGGATTTATCCAGGAGAATGTCACAGGGTCACTGTAAACCTCCCTGCTGGAGAAGTCTGGTGTCACCTTCCAGGTGGCTCTCTGGGGTGGCACAGGGATGGAGCTGAGTGCGAGCCCCGGTTGTTCTTTCTGAGCATCCCTGGGGGATGTGACCCCAGTGCTGCTGAGCTGAGCTGGGAGAGGGAAAGGTGTCCCTTGGCCCCAGATCTGGGGCTGCTGAAGGGTGGCCCACAGTGACCTGACTTCAGGGTGAATTTCCTGTTCCTCCACAGGAGAAGGAGGAGATGAACTATCACATCTACCAGCTCTCCCTTGGCCACCCTGCCTGAGCTCCAGGGTCTCTGTGAGTGTCCCCACATGTCCCCACAACCCCCATCTCTGCCAGCCTATCCCACACTGGGAGAAAAGGGTAAACCCCAAAGGACATCGTTCCCACTGCCCCACCTGTGGCCCTTTATGGCCATTAATTGCTGCTAATTGGAGAGAGAGTGGATTCTTTTCCCTGCCCCTCTTTGCCCCCATTCTGCCCCCAGGCTGGAGAAGCTCCTGGGGGTGCTGGGACAGGTTCTCCCCACTGCAGCCTGAGACCCCTTGCAGCTCGGGCACTTCGAGAGCCCTGATTCAGGACAAGCCAAGGGTCCCTGTAAGAGGCACCCCAAGACCTCACTTGGGACATGCAAAGAAGCCTCATCAGGCACCCCCAACAAGAGACACCCCAAACTCTCACTCCTCTCCCACCAGGGACACTCCAAGATCCTGTTGAGGACAGCCAAAGACCTCTCCTGATTAGGACACCCCAAAACTGTCCTTGTTCAAGGGCAGCCAGGTCCCTCATGCAGGGCATCCCAAGGACCCCACACAGCCCCTACTGCCCTTGTGACAGTGACTCCAGTAACGATAAAAATCAGTCACCCTCACACCTCTGCTGCTCTGACACCTCTGGCTGTCCCCACTGCCCACGGGTGCTGCTCTCCAGGGGTGTCCCTGTGTGCCATGGCCACCTCCTGCCCGTGTATCCCCACAGCCCTGGGTGCTGCTGTCTGCAGAGCCCTGCTGGCCCCACATGCCTGAGTGGCTGGGCCAGCCCTGCAGGGCCAGAACAAAGCCCTGGTGACCAGGGGCCAGAGAGTGGGGACAGAGTGACAAGGGGTGTCCAAGTGAGGGATGATGAGCGTGGAGAATGGTTTGGGTTGGAAGGGACCTCAAAGCCCATCCAGTGCCACCCCTGCCATGACCAGGGACACCTTCCACTGTCCCAGGCTGCTCCCAGCCCTGTCCAGCCTGGCCTTGGACGCTGCCAGGGATCCAGGGGCAGCCCCAGCTGCTCTGGGCACCCTGTGCCAGGGCCTGCCCACCCTCCCAGCCAACAATTCCTTCCCAATATCCCATCCAGCCCTGCCCTGTGGCACTGGGAGCCATTCCCTGTGTCCTGTCCCTGCAGGCCTTGTCCCCAGTCCCTCTCCAGCTCTCCTGGAGCCCCTTTAGGCCCTGCAAGGGGCTCTGAGCTCTCCCTGGAGCCTTCTCTTCTCCAGGTGAGCACCCCCAGCTCTCCCAGCCTGGCTCCAGAGCAGAGGGGCTCCAGCCCTTGGAGCAGCTCCGTGGCCTCCTCTGGACTGGCTCCAGCAGCTCCACGTCCTCCTGATGTTGTTCCCCAGGGCTGGGGCAGCTCTGCAGGTGGGGTCTCACCTGAGCACAGGGGCACAGGGGCAGAA